TGACATATGGAGGCGAGTGAAGGAGGCAGCCAGTCGAGCTGCGTTAGTCTGCGTCTGTCTAAATTAATTTTTTCTGCGTGTGCGTGCGGTCTATGGACAGGCACAACCAAATGTTTTTTCTCACTGGCGGCAATGGGAATATCGCCACCGAGCGCGCGAAAAGACCTAACTTTTGGATAGTATTGTCGCGAGTGTACTACCTTAAAAATAATATGTCGGCAATCGTGGCGCAGGGCGCTGCGTGACAGCTTACTGTGCCGAGGATCCAGGTTCGAAACCACCCAGAACGGTGCTCTGAAATGCGCTGCCAGTGCTTCACAGCATCTGGTGGCGCAAATTGGAGCACGGTCTCTGGAAAGCGATCGCTATCTCTCGGTAAGGCAAGGTAAAACCACCAAGAGTATTCCTGCCAAATAACAACATCCGATGGAGAGAAATGATATGGATCTGGTGTCCGACACGGGGCTAAACGGGGCCTGGTGTCTGGCGCTAAGTCCGAGATAGGATCAATGTCTAGCGCAGGAGCTGAACAAAGCCTAGTCTGGCATGGATCTGAGAAGGATTGGTGTCTGACGAGGGCGAACGGAAGCTCAATATCGGGCAGCAGAGGGAGATTGCCATTAGAATCTCTCAAAAGCGGAAGTTACAATGACACTTTATAGAGTCAGATGACGCTGAGCCTCTCGTAGGACCACCCGCATAACAATTACTACTACTACTAAAAATAAGAAGATTTAAATAAGGTTTAAAATCTGCGCGCACGCGGATACACACACGTACGTATACATATATACACATATATAGCAAACAGTTTGAAATCATTAAATACTGCATTAATGAACTGTGGAACTTGATCTTTGTGTAATAGCTTCGTGATGTATGTGCGCGCGCGCGCGTACGCGCGTACGTGTCCACAAAGATAAGTCCGACCGTGCAACTTTACGTAATACACCTCGCGTAATACTAATACTAACGACATATTAGGACTTTCTACTAAAAAACAAAACACATTGATTACTTTAAATTACAATAATTTGTTAAAAGAATTGCAGCTAAATTTAAAAACGCATTTTAAGAAAAAAATCTAAAACTTTCAAATAATTTGGAGTAAAGTTACAAAAGGCCTTTTTATCAGTGTATATGATTTAAAGTTTTTCTATCAATTTTTTACGCTTAATTTGGAAGTGATGTTATTTAGATAAAAATCATTGTCAAGGTAAAAGTTAGCACCATTTCAAAGCTAAGACTAATACAAACATCTATTCTTCAAATTTTTAAATATTTCTAAGAATATTACTATACAATCATTTTTTAAAAAGTTACATTTGAATTTCATCAATTTTCCCGCAGATTCAAAGAGAATGCTTCAACTTTTATGCAGAATGTATAGAACGTTTAATAGAAATTAAGAGAAATAGTATTACGCGATCAGACTAGTATTATACGATCCTCTTGTAATTAAGAAGTATTTTTTTTTTCAAATTTCCCGTTAAGGTTTTTTATTTTTTAAAACGTCAATATAATGTATTTATTATTTCCTGATTCTTCATATAAATAATTATCGTGTAAGAATTTGGTTATTGTGTTATAATTAATTCTATATAATGTTTCTAATCTATAATATTATTTTTTTAAGATAAAACACTCCAAAAATTATATTCTCCCAACAAGAGCGCAAAATTCAAATTAAGCGCCATTTTCGTTTTGTCGTTTTGGGTACCCCAAAAATTTCACAGTTGTCATAAAATACTGTTTATGTGTTATAAATTGACCAAGATTATACAAAAACAGAATTTATTAAGTTCAGTAAAACGTACAACGTAATGATCTTATAAGATGTGGTGAAGAAACAAAAGGACTTGCACTAAAAAGACGCTGCACACATCGTATACTTATGACGCTATTATCTATCTTAAGGCGATAACATTTAAATCTCTTTAGTTTCTCATTGAACACAAGTATCTTACACATTGCAATTAGTAGTCATAAAACGCTACATGGAAGAACGACGCATTATTATTGTGAAAACAGCAAAAGAAATTGTTGCAAGTGTTATCTCATACAACGGCGACCAGAATTGATCACCGAGATTGTGATATGACACCATACAATTTTTTCTTTAGGGTTTTGTGAAGTCTGTCATCTGTCAACAAATTAACATTTCCTAATCTTGAAAGAGATTCGATGCGTCATGGGCAAAATTCAATCGCAATTATGTAAAAATGTAATCCAAAATTTCGTCAAAGGAGTAAAAGTGTGCCAGCAGAGTTATGGGAAATATTTGTCGGATATTATGTTCGATATTTAATCGTAATGTGTACACTCTTTACTATAATTAAAATATCAGCACTTTTCAATTAAATAATACGTTTTATTTAAAAAATTAAATCTTGCAACGCTTTCGGTATAACAATATGTGTTCCTCTTAATACAATGTTTCCATAAGCGCTTAACTCGTCTTTTACGAAACTTTGAGCTCGTCAAGCTGTCCCAGTTCCTTGTTTTTAACGCTAATCGAACTTCCTTAAGCAACGAGTCATTTGCAGATTCTGTTTCAATCTCATTTGATCTTAACGCTTTAGATATTGCTGCTGTAACAACAGCTCGGATATATTGTTCGTATTCTTTCGAGTATAACTCTCCTCGATTTTTTTCATCAATAACCAGTCTAGACAACGGATCCGCGATATTTGACATTCCTTTCTCATATATAACTTTATATTTATAACCTTGTAACCGTAACACCCATCGCTCAATCCGCGTACATAGTTTCAATTTCGGTCCAAAAATGCATTCAAGAGCCTTGTGGTCTGTGACCAAATCAAATTTGCTTCCGTATATCCAATTGTGAAACCGTTTACACACCCACACCAGTGCCAATGCTTCCTTTTCCGTTTGCGAATATCTTTTCTCGCAATCCGTTAATCCTCTACTAGCATAACAAATAACTCTCCAGCCATTTGTTTCTAATTGCGTTAAAACCGCGCCTAAGGCTACTGGATTAGCATCTGCAATGATTCTGGTACGTGCATCTTTTTTAAGTTTCTAAGACGTTTGCATTAGTTAAACTCTGTTTTAGTTTTTCAAACGCTTTATCTTATTCAATTCCCTATTTAAACTTTACCGTTTTTCTCATTAAGGTAGTACACTCGCGACAGTACCATTCAAAAGTTAGGTCTCATCGTGCGCTTGGTACTGATATTCCCCACTCCCACCAATGAGAGAAAATATTTGGTTGCGCCTGTCCATAGACCGCACGCACACGCAGAAAAAGAATTAATTCAGATAGAGACGCAGACTAACGCAGCGCGATTGAAGTGACGAATGTGACAA